TTTATTCTGACTTTTATTAGTTCCTTCTATCAGCTCTTGAGAGCTTATTTTGCTGTTCATTTTCTAGCTTTTAAAGACCTCTTTTCTCTGATAGATTTAGTACCACAAACTTGGAAACTCTGTTGCATAAATTGTCTTGGTTTCGCTTCCTGTTGCTGTGATAAAATGCCCTGCCAAAAGCACCTTAAAGGAGAAAGGGTTCATTTGGTCACCATTCACATTAGAGTCCACGATTCATATTACAGTCCATCATTTCAGGGAAGGGAAGAAGCAGGAACTCAGCAGCTATGTCACAGCCACTCAAGAGCAGAGAAAGAATTCACATGTCCATGCCAGCCAGTTCCCAGCTCACCTTCTCCTCCTCTATAGTCCAGGACCCAAAGCCAAGGAATAGCACTACTCAATTTTAGGCCACGTCTTTCCACATCAGTTAACATTAAGACAATCCCTCAAGGACATGTCTTTGGCCAACCTGTTCCAAACAAGCCCTCACTGAGATCCTCTTCCTAAGTGACTCTAGACTGTGTTAAATTCACACACACACACTTTCATAGCTGTGTTTTTATAGCTGTTTGTACAGATTAATGTACATCTTTATTTCCCATGGAGCATCTCAATGACCTATGGGTTACTTAGAAATGTGCTCTATAATTTCTACGTTATTTAATATTTTTTTTATTCTCTTTCCATTAGTTAGTTCTAGCTTGATTTTATTCCACATAATCTTGACTCTTAGGTTTGTTGAGGATTGTTTTTATAATTCAGATAAGGTTTACATATGTGAATTTTACAATGGGTACTTACATTTATATCTGCTGTTAGTGAAGTGGTATGTAAGTATCAATTAAATCCTGTTGGCTGGATGTATTGCTTATTAGTTTTGTTAATGTTATTCATCTGTGTACTTAATAATAACTCTACTGATTACTAAGACAGACATCTCAAGTCCTCATCCACAATTATGAATTTATTTATTCTCCTTTCAATTTTGTCACATTTTCATTTTCATGTATGTTTTAAGATCCATTAGGTGAATTCATAGTCAAGACAATATATTATCTTAGTCTATTTACCTGAAGTAGCATTTGTGTAGCTCTGTTATTAAACTACTCTAGAGAGATGTGCAGAAACTTATTTTCTGCTCGCTTCATTTTTAAAGCAGTTATAGAAACCCAGCAAAAGTGAGCAAAAAATAGTTTCTGTACATCTCTCTAGAGTACATTCACTGCTGTACAAACCCATTATGCTCCACTTATCCCTTCAGAACCCTCAGAAATCACTAATGTTTTCACTGCTTTTCTGAGTTTTTAACCTGATATATTAGGTAAGATAACTGCTGTACCAAATGTACAGAAGATTGTATCCAGCTTTTGTTTTGTTTTGGTTTTTGTTTTTGTTGTTTTCTGCTATGACAAATATCTGGGAGCTCTAAGAATTGTCAGTTAAGAATCTTGGGATTGGAGCAAATTTTTTATGTGCAAAGGGCAGAATAAGCAGAAAGCAAACCTAAGGGAGATGCTGACTGCATACTAAATGTAATGTGAACTTTGAAAGTAACTCAAGGCACACCATGGAAATGGGAATTAAAACAGAAAAATGGAGAAATGCTTTGGGGAAAGCCAAAGAAATTATCAACCAAAGAAATTACCAAGTCTGCATGGGGAGAGTAAGCTCCATTGGTTAAAAGCAGTCACTGAAGATTGGGAACCTGGCTCAGTTAACAGATGCTTACCTAAGCACAAAGCCCTTGGTCCAATGCCAAGCACAGTTTCTGCATAAACTGGGTGTGGCACACAACTGTACTCTCATCACTCACAAAGTGGAAATAGAAGAATAAGGGGTTCAAAGTCATCCTTAGCTACTAAACAAGTCCAAGACCATTCTGTACTTCATGAGACCTGAAACAAAACAAAACAAAACAAAAACAAACTTAAGGATCTGGTAAAAATCGTTCCACTGAAGCATCAAGAGCCATGGCCATATTTCAGGGTATCATGAAGAAACAGACATTGTGTACAGACAGCTTGCTGGAGTAAGAATGAGACAATGTGGCAAGAGAGAGTGTTGGTATCAAAGGAGAGTTTCTATAATACAACAGAGATTTGGGCATGTTTCTGGGACAATTTTTAGCTACTGGAGAACTTGAAATCCAAGGTAGAATAAACCATTTGCAGGAAATGTAATTCTCTAGGCACAAACTGGCTATTATATTCTTATATTTTGATACTACCCAAAGAAATATATACCTCACAGGTTAAGGACTTCCTCCTTCAGCTAGGTACCACTGATCACTACCCTACAGAAACTCATCCTGTCTTTCTTAAAAACTGTGTCTAGTTTAGGCTACCAGGAAAGCAAGTCTCAGTTTCAGCAAAGCACTGGTAGCAGTCCTCATGACATCTTCACACTTCTCATCAGCTACTGTCCTACAAGGACAAACATCTTAAGTTTTGTCTGGTTTGCAACTGATTCAGCCTTAATATTAAAACTGGATTAGATTTAAAAGGCTAGGTTCAACAATCAGTCTGCTATTGGGTAAACAGAGGATTAATTGTATGGTTTCAAAGAGCCTTAAAAGAATGGCCCATTGTATCAAACTGCATCATAATCAGCAGCTAAGCAATAAAAGGGAAATAATATTCAGATGCAAAGTTAATATGATGCATGGCTGGGGAAAGGCAGAAGGCATTGGCTGGTTTGGTGGATTTAAACGAAAAGCCCAGTCATATACTTATAGCAAAAGAAAATCTAGAAGTTGCTTCATAAGAAAGATTTAAATATAAGACAATAACTTTAGGCCCTAATGAGAAGGCTGGTAACTTTCAATATCTCCTGCAATGTTCATAAATCACAATATTGATCACATATAAATTAATGCAGGAATGTATATATTTGTGTATGGGGACACATGAAACCTCATTTATAATATGAAAGTGAAATAGAAAGCAATTTTTATATTATGAACACCTAATTAAACCATTTAGCTTCTTTTTAAAAAAATCTTAAATGAATCTTGTCCTTGTGGACCTAATGTACATGAATTGTCCTTTCCATCTCTTAGTGGTGGACTACCACTCCTGCTACAGCTTCTGTATTGGCTCCCAGGTAAGAGAATTTACAAAAAGAGAGGCTGTCAAAAGTTTGTTTGTAGTCCTTTATATCCTTTCCGGTGACCAATATACCCACTGCATGTTTTATTTGGCTTTCTCCCTTGGTATACTTTGTTTGACTAGCTTTCATAAAAATCCTGCCCAAATAAGCTGAAACATCAGGCAGTAAACAGTGTATACTCTCTAAGTGAATGACTTAGTCACTGGTTATTCACTGATAACGTTTTAAAAGACTCAGTCCCATTAATTAAGACACCATGAAATATGCTCTTGAGGCAAATCTCAAATCTCAGTTGTATCAAACCAGTGAAGAGTGCAAAAGTGGGTAAGATCACATTTCATAAAATTAATAGACTTCTGTAAACCCAGCCAAACTCTAGAACAGTCTTTTCAACCTACTGCAACTGGAGAACAACCTGGTTTACTTTTAGAAATACAGCCAGGAATATGCATGTCTCTTTTGTCTGTAGTGAGGGGTGGTGATCATTGCGTTTAAAAATTTGGGTAGGTCCTGAGGCATTCAAGAACCTATTCTCTGAGAGCTTGGATTGCAGGTCTGTAGCCACCATGCTGGTACTGTTTCATACCCTTCATGTACAGCTGGGGCTTGGGAATCCACACTCCACAGGTTAAGGCTATGAACAAGCACACATGATTGCTAGAGTTGAAATATAACATGGGAGGTTTAGTATTAGCTAAAATCCTCCAGCACTTCTGATTGGAGGAGATGGGAAGAGGTTTCTGCAAAATGCTTTTTAGGCACGAAAAAGTTGATGGAAGACATAGCTCAGCTTTCTTTTGCATTGCTGTTGTGGTAGAGGCCAACTAAAGTTGCATCATAACAAACTTTAGGCAACTGGAGGGGGGGGGCGATGATGAAGTTACACTTGGAAACTCAAGAGAGCTTTCAGGTTTTCATAGTAAATGGATCTGAAATGTGGCTGGTGTGAAGCAAAATGAATCGGCATAAGCTATAGTGGAAACTGCGCTGTTCTCAAAGATTAAGCATGGGGTAGGGACGGGATTAAAATATTGTAATTGTGTATTGCTTCCATGCTGAGATAGCAATACTTGGGACATACCGAAGTAACTGTCATCTTAAAGCTGCCTCTTTCGACTTTAATGAGGCCACTACAAACTTTATGACTCCATTGTTGCCTGAATTCTCTCACAGAGACCACGCGGGAGGTTAAGGCTAACCTGGAGAGGCCTCACGGGTACTAAACGGAGGGGAAGAGCATCCGGGAGGACACACCCAACTAATTTCCTTTCGAAAGCCCCGAGGACTTCCATTCAGCCCTCCGGGCCGACATTAAGGGACAGCGCCGCTAGGGAAGCTCGTGCGGCCGGGCGTGGGCGGCCAACCTGAGGGAGGAGCGGTCCGGGAGAGAGGCAGAGCAGGCCCCGGAGCCACGCGGCTCGGGAAGCAAGCCCGGCGAGTGGATAGGACGGCTCGCCGGCCCCTCCTCCGCCGCCGGCAGTCGCTTCCGCACACCGCCCGGCGGCCCACGCCTGCAGCTGCAAAGCCGTGCCGCTCGCCCCGCCGCCTTCCCTAACCCGGCCCCGGGTGGGCCACAGACGCGAGAAGACGCGCGGAAGAGAACGCGAGCGTATGCTCGAGCCGCACGCGCCTGCGTACACATTCGCTCGGCGCTCTTCTCCACAGCACGCGCGCGCCTTCCTGCCGCCTCCTCCCCTCCGGCACCTGGTTACGTCACAAAGAGTGGCGTGCAAGTGGAACAATCACAGTCGCTTCCCTCGTGAGCGCCCGGGGAAAGAGGAGGGCGGGGCGTGGGGAGGAGACGGAAGGAGCCGGCTTCGAGGACTGGCTCGTTCTCGTCATCCAATCAGAGCGGCCAGGAGTGCGGAGGGGCGGGGCCCGAGAAGAGGGCGGGGGTGGGGCCGAGGGAAAGGAACTAGAAGGCTGCGGGACGAGAGGGCGGGCTCCCGGAGATTAAAAGCAGCCAATCGGAGCGCGCCGGCTTCCTTCGGAGAGCGGCGTGGGGCGTCGCCGCCGCCGCCGCGCGCGCCGGGGGCTGGTTAAGGCCATGAAACAAAAGAAACCCTGAGAGGGGAGCCGCTGCCGTCCCCACCCACCCACCTAGTTACCTAGCTCGGCTCCTTCCCCGGCCCCTGCACCCCGCCCTCGCGCGCTCCGGCGGCCCTGGCGCTCCTCAGCCCGGGGCGCGGGCACCGCCGCCGCCTCCTCCCCCGAGGAAAGGTGTTTGCGCGCTGAGCAGGGCCCGGGCCCTGTCCGCCATGGGGCCCGCCGCCCGCCGCGCCTGACGCGCCCGCCGCCGCCGCCGCCATTGACAGCGCGCCGCCGCGATGCCAAGCGGCAGCTCCGCGGCCCTGGCCCTGGCGGCGGCCCCGGCCCCCCTGCCGCAGCCGCCTCCGCTGCCGCCGCCCGCCGGAGGCCCGGAGCTCGAGGGGGACGGGCTGCTGCTGAGGGAGCGCCTGGCCGCGCTAGGCCTCGACGACCCCAGCCCGGCGGAGCCCGGCGCCCCGGCGCTCAGGGCCGCGGCGGCGGCGGCGGCGCAGTGCCAGGCCCGGCGGGCGGCCGGGCTGGCTCCGGAGGAGTCCGCTCCGCCTGGGCGCCCGGCGACCTCCGAGCCGGCGGAGCTGGAGCTGGAGGAGGACGACGAGGAGGGGGAGGAAGCGGAGCTGGACGGAGACCTGCTGGAGGAGGAGGAGCTGGAGGAGACTGAGGAGGAGGACCGGCCGTCGCTGCTGCTGCTGTCGCCGCCCGCGGCCACCGCCTCCCAGACCCAGCCGATCCCGGGCGGGCCCCTGGGTTCGGTGCTGCTGCCGGCCGCGGGCTTCGATGCCCGGGAGGCGGCGGCGGCGGCGGGGGTGCTGTACGGAGGGGACGATGCCCAGGGCATGATGGCGGCGATGCTGTCCCACGCCTACGGCCCCGGCGCTGGCGGGGCCGCCGCTGCCGCTCTGAACGGGGAGCAGGCGGCCCTGCTGAGGAGGAAGAGCGTCAACACCACCGAGTGCGTCCCCGTGCCCAGTTCCGAGCATGTCGCCGAGATTGTCGGACGCCAGGGTGAGTGCGCCGAGGTCCGTCTGGGCACAGCCCTGGGCGTGGGTGGGAGACGGAAAAGACGAGCGTGTGGCGGGAGAGCGAACCCGGGGAGTGGAGTCCCCCAAGTGCACCGAGAAGGGGGTCCGGGAGGGATGGGTCGGCCACCTTACGAAGACCCACGCCTGGCCAGAAGTGTTAAGTTTCTCGGGCTGCCGACTCTAGTAGTGTTTGTTCACTTGGTGTACTCGTGGAACACCAGGCTGGCGTGGTGGTAAAAGGTCGGGTCAGAAGTTATGGGTACGGTATTGTTTCCCGAGAGCTTCGAGGTAGCAAGTTTCTGTAGCCGAGTGCCCTATAAAAATGATCATCCTCTCTCAGAACAGCTTGTGCGGATGAGAGAGAGGGAGCGACATGGAGGCAGCGTGTTCACAGAACCTTTTCGGGAGGGAAGAGAGATGTTCAGGCGGCCTTATCGCCACCTCCCTCCTCCGCTATTCAGAAACTTGGCTTTAGAAGAGCACCCCAACTCTGTTGGTTGGTCTTAGGTACTCGGTGGACACTTTGCTCTTCTCAAAAAGATACTCTAACTTTCGGGAAACTTTAGCTTGTACGACAAAAGGAAAACTGAGCAGTGGGTAATTAAGGAACTTTAGCATTTGTACATTTCTCGTTAAATTTTCACTTGCCAACACACCCGTTCTGCAGACAGACTCCTCCCACTTTGTTCAGACAAAGGACCTATGTCTCAGACTCCAGGAGTAGGTTTATGAAGGTGGGGGAAGGGGATGCACAGAGTACCTCTGTACCCGACATTTTTAGGGAAGGTTCTATATGCCTAAGTGCAGCTTTTGCGCCATTTTCGAGAAGGGGACATAATACTACCTGCTGCTGCCGTGGTACAAGGTGTAGCCTGGTTGATACAGGCCTCTTGTTGAGGTCAGACGGTGGCACCACTACTTGAATGATCTCATTTTCCCAAGTGGTCGAAAGTACATACAAAATAAGATTGTTGAGGCGGTGTCTTTACATGTAAGAAGTGGCATACTTCTTCGCTAGGATTTTAGTAAGAAAAGCCTGTATGTTTTCTGTGCACAAAATAGCTTGTTTCAGATTGACTAATCAGTTTCATATGCCTCACTTGGCCAGTTGGAACTGATCAGGATAATAGCTCATGAGACAACTGATTTATATACATGAAATAAAAGTGCATTTTATTTATAGATACAGAATGAGATGGCTTCTCATTTAAAAATCATTGGGTGTTTAATTTTGCCTGATAATGAGTAAGCCGAGAATTCGTGGTTGATTTAGACAGACTTTCTGCTCTTTGTTAGAAACTAACAATTAACAGAATGGCTCTAAAGTAATATGACAGTAGTGGCACTACCTACACCAAGGCAAATAGATCACACACATGAGAACATGACCCTTAGAGAAATCAGTTTATCAAACAGGATGCAAGTATTGAACAACATAAGTGTGGAAGAGTACCTGCTAGGTGGTGATGAGAAAATCACCCAAATTTTGCTAATGATTAGGATCTGGTAAACTAAAGTGTTGGAAAGGGCCTGGGAAGTGATTGTTGAGGCTGTGAGGGATACTGGGAAAACATAACACATCTTAATTCGGTGTTCATTTGCTTGCCAGTTTTACCACATAAACTTTTGTCCTTTATATCCTTAAGCACCTTAACTGTAAATTGGTAGTGTTTATACAGATTTAAGTTGCACATTTTTGTTTTGTGCTATTACATGATAAATGTAGTTTTTCTTCTTAGGGCTGTGCTTATTGGTTAATAAGGAAATAAGAATCTGTGTCTTAGAACATGGAGACAAATTATTGACTGTTCTTTCTGCACTTAATATTTCCCAGAGTTGCTGGTACTATTAAAAGTATGCCATCTTCTATCTTATCTTAAGGGCAGAAAGTCTTGCCCTTTTCCTGTTTTGCACCATTGACTAGTGGATCATTGACCCCTTTACCACCCCCACACCCCAGCAGTGTGGTAATAAAACCTGTATTTGCTCACTCCTATAGAGAACAAAGTGGCTTCTAATAGTCACACCCTTTTACTGTGTGAAAATTTCTCCTTGTGAAAATAACTGTCTTGAGTGAGTTTATTAAAAAGGTAAATTTGAGGGGTTTTTTTTGCTTTGGAAGAGCTACGTGTTCATTCATCCTTAATAATTAGCCATTCTATCATCATCTTCATTACCTGAAGTCATAATTTTCTATTTGACATTTCTTAATTGCTTTTGAAAATAATTATGTCACAGATGGAGACATTCATAACTTCAGCTCTGAAGCAGAGTGTAGAATACATACATTTAGCAGCACTTATAGATAGCCCCTAGTTCCATTATCTTTCAAATAACATATATTGGTGAGACAGGCTTTCATCCTGGCTACTGGGCTCATAAACATGTGCTTCTAAACCTATCCCCAGACCAATTTTTTTTTTTTTATTTTACATTTATGAGTGTTGTGTAGTGTGCTTGGTGCTTAGAGAGGCAGAAGAGGATCCCTTAGAACTGGAGTTAGATAATTATAAACCACCATATGGTACTGGGAACTGAACCCAGGTCCTCTGCAACTGAGTGCTCTTAACTGTTGAGCCATCTCTCCAACCCCAAGACCACATTTCTTTTTGAATTGTGTCTATGTCTGTGTATGTGTGTGCAAGTGCATGCAGAGACTAGAGTCAGATCCCCCTAGAAGTGGAGCCATAGCCACCAGTTATTGGTGCTAGGAACTGAACTGGAATCCTCTGGAAGAGCAGTATGTGCTCTTAACCACTGAGCCATCTCTTCACCCCTTTTCTCCCCAGACCACTACATAGTGATAAAAACTGGCAGAGCACTTGACTTCCTATTTTACTTCCAGGAGCATATGACCTTTGTACATGTTAAATTGGTCTTATTACTGTTGTGTTTTTTTTTTAATTTTTGTTTAAATTAAAAAAATCTTATTTTACTTATCAATCCCAGTTCCCTCTTCTGCCCTCCTGTCCTCCCATTCTCCCCTTAAGTGTGTTTTTTTTTAATTTTGTGAAATTAACAATATTGTTTAGTGTAGTAAAATGCATTGATTATATTGTTTAAGTTCTTAATAAGGTAAATTAGGAACTAGAGAGATACATTAATATTAAATTTTTAAATATAGACATCAAAATAAGTCTCATGCTGAAAAGATGGTTCAGTGGGTCAAGTGCTTATTCCACAAGCAAGAAGTTGTGACCACATAAAAAGCTAGATCTGGTGCCATAGAGCTGTATCCCAGCTCTGTGAGACAGACAGGAAGACCCTGAGACTTGCTGGTCAAGTGGTCTAACCAGTCATTGGGCTCCACGTTCAGCAAGAGCCCCTGTCTCAAACTAGGTGAAAAACCATAAAGGAAGACAACATCCAACATCAACCTCCAGCCTCCATATGGGCATGCACAGATGTATGCATACTAAAAGTATTGTAAAATCTTGTTTTATAAATACAGAATATGTCTTGTTTTAAAGTGTAGTGCCTTCAAGACATTAGTAGTTGTTAGCAGGTTTGGTTAAAGTCAATAGGTTTTATTCCAGTTCAGTTGTTACTATCCAGTAAGTATAAAAAGGAATGACAATAGAACTCTGGATCCTTTTTTGGGTTTTTGAGGCAGGGCTTCTCTGTGTAACAGCCTTGGCTATCCTGAAACTCACTGTGTACACCAGGCTAGCCTCAAACTCACAGAGATCTACCTACCTGCCTCTTCCTCCCAAGTGCTGGGATTAAAAGCATGTGCCACCACCACCCAGATTGGATCCACTTTTTACTATACTGTCAATTAAGGTTAAATGCTGTAAATTGAGTTTAATTTTTAGTGTATGTTCTTTAACCTTATAGAGCCAGAAAAGTCTTTTTTTAATTATACACTCTGTCAAAAAAAACTTTGTGCCCCTAATATATAATTCATACACAGTAGTATTATAACTAATGTATGCTAAAATAATAAATATGCAGAAATTTGTTTTTTTTATCTATGTGCTGATATTTTTTATTTAATTATGGTACATTGGGTCTTTTGTCTACATGTATGTTTGTATGAGGGTGTCAGATTTTCCTAGAACTGGAGTTACAGACCGTGTGAGTTAGACCATTTAGATAACTCCCTCCTTAATTAAACTATCTTGTTACTGCTGTTCTCCAGTAACTCTGTGTGTGTCTGTCTGTGTGTCTGTGTCTTCCCATTGTTCCAAATTTTTCATCAGTAGTGCTTGATCGGGAGAAACAGAACATTCGGTGTTGCTGTGCATAGATTTTCCCATCCAAAAGTACATTATATGTTTCACTAAAAAATTTCAGAACAGCACTGAAATCATGGTATCTTTCCATATGTGTGTGGGGGGGTTGGTTTTGGGGGGGGGGGGGCTTTGTTTTCTGGAGAAGAGGGTTTTTGACCATTAGACTAAGTACTACTGGCTATTTTACCAGTGTTATATAACTATTTGGTGATTATGGGTATTCTGTAGATACCAAACCTGAGGTCCTAAATAATTTCTGTACTTAGTAGATCTAGATTTGAGCCAGTTTGTTAAACAGTGTGATGTTCACCATTAGTAATTTAAACTCAGAATAAAAAATTTGGGGAGGGGGGAACTAAGTATATTTTCAGTAAAAAAAAAGTTTAAAGAGTTAAAAGCCAGAAAATTCAATCTGATAATTAAGTCTTTAAGCTATTTGTTTCTTTCTGGTTTTGTTTGAGGGAAAGTCTCCATATTGTCTAGGCTCATCTCAAGTCTAACGCCAGATCTCTACCCCCGCCTTATTAGTGCTGAGATTACAGACATCACACTCTGCTAGTAATTTTTTAGAATTACAAAACCCAACTAAATTAAATATATGCATAGCATAATACTGTTTGAATAGTTGTCTATGACCAATTTTAAGAATATTATGTTTCTCTTCAGTAACTATAGAATCTTTCCTGCCAGTGTTTGAATTTAGGACAATTGAGTATGTATGGTTATTGCCTTTGTCTAGTAAGCATAA